TGGAGAGACCAGAGGATCATTTTATCTCTGCCCTTTCTCTTTTCTTTGACTCTTTTTCTTCTCTTTTCTCCTTCCCACTCCTTCCTTCTCCTTTCTCTTGCACAGAGGGATAAGCAATAGGCATAGAGCTTTAGAGAAGGAGGGATGCAAAGGCAGCTATGTTACTGGAGCATATTACTGGGATCTGATTTTGCCAAAGCGCCTGGAGACCATCTCCCAGAGGTAACTGGGCACTTCTGTCTTAAGGCAACACTGAGTCACTTTGGGGGCACCAGTTTCATGTTCCTGGAAACTAATGAACTCTGCCAGTAGCTACATTCTTCACCACGTTCCCTCACGTCAACTGTGTCCTGCCGCATTAAAGGTATGTGTGCAGCATACAGCTGCAGAGGAGTTCCCGGAGCTTGAAAATCTGGTCTGAGGACAGTACTAATCCGTCAGCACTGAACCAACTTTTTTCAGGTCCAATCACTGGGGTTTGTGGAAAGAGAAAGTTCTAAAGGAGGCTTTCACGCTGAGACATCTTCTTGTTCTTGTGTAATCCCTCTGCAGCTCGAGCCGTCATGCTGTTCGCTCTGATTCCCATCACAACCATTTGGTCAGCAATGTCCAAGCTCATTAAGGGCTCCTCTTACGGTGAGTGAAAGGGGCCTCTCTGGGTGTTTTGCCAGCACTGTCTTGGGCGCTCAGCTTGGGGAGCAGGGACTGGACCTGCAGAAGACATAGAAGACAGTGCAGCACAAAGCACAGAAGGAATACACTGCTAACTGTCCAGAAAACAGAAGGATGAGCAAGACTCAGAAAGTCAGTCACTCAAAGACTAACTAAAGAGGCCTTTGGGCACAGGGGTCAGGAAACTCTGGCTGATGGAGGCAGAATTCCTGGTGAGCTGAGCCAACAAGACTTAGAGGCAGAGTCTTGGAGAAGTTACATGTTCTCTAAGAGCTTCTCAGGGACACATAATGGGGCTGAAGAAATGACAGAGCATAGCTTTCCTCACATTGTCGTAAAATCGTAGAACACACTATTTGCCGATTTTTCATGGGTGCTATTCAGTGTCATCAACTACACTAATCACACTGTGTGTCCCATTTTTGTTCTTTTTACAGGAAAGGTGTTCGTCATCCTGCAGTTGTCGCTGGCTCTGACTGGGGTGGTGACGTCTGTGCTGTATAACGAGATCTATCAGCTCTCCATGGAAAAGTTTGCTGGCCCTTGTTTTATTCTCTCCTCCTTCCTCTCCTTCCTGGCCATTGTCCCTATTGGGTAAGATGGGAGTAGCCTCTGCTGCTTGGGTGGGGCCTTGGCGGGAAGGACAGGGAATGTTCAGCCGCCTCTCAACCACCATATGAGCTTGCTGGTCTTGAGATGGTTCAGATTCACAGTGATGCACCATTGGGTTTCCATGGCTGCAAGCCTTTAAGAGCGGAGACTGCTAATCTCCCCAAGGCAGCCCATTACACCCTAGGACGATGACACCAGGGCTTCTTGCCCTAAGAAAGAATTTTCTACTCAGCATTTATGAGAGGATAACAAATAGGCACTCTTCTTAAATAAAAAAAGTACTTCTGTTCCCCCAAATTAATAATCTAGTCTCTAGGGATTTCCCAAAGTCACATACAATAACTAGAAAACCCAACTCGCTGGCTTATTTCTCTTCTGTGTTGTAATGACAATGTGTTTGTAGGAGCTCTTGTATTTCCTTACAATAAGAGGCTGGCATTAGCAAACCTCTTG